TACGATGCTGTGACTTTTCACTAAATAAAGTAGATTATCAACAGCTGTTACTTAATTACTCTAATCACCATTACTCAAGTGCCTTGTTCTACACTTAATTAGATTCGCAACAATTGGTTGCATTCTTGATTGATCGGACATTTAACGTTTGAAAACAGTTGCCCCGGACTCCCTCACGGACTAATTTATTCGTTGAATTATTTTGCACTTGAAGGTACTGCAGAATCTTTTCAACTGAGTACAACTATTCATATATATTCAGATATTATCTGAATATATTATCTGCCACAAATCGTCAGCTTTTAGTGGACCAGACGTTTTGTCTTAACTCGTTACAATTCGTAACTTACATTAGATCCTGCTAGAATAATTGTACGCTATTGATATGGTAAGGTTTTGATGACGTAACGATTACAATGTTAGCCTCATCATAATGCAGTTATAGAGTGAGTCTCTTCAGGATTACTATTATGTGACCTGGTGGCTGGTTGAGGCTGCTGCCTTTGCGGTTTGTTAAATATGTTTAGTTAACTCTTTAAAGTTTACTTGCTTAAAAGTTAATCAATGTCTGGAGAATGTAACAGTTAATATTAATTTGGAAAAATTAATATCGACTGCTTTGCTAAACAGAACATTTAAAATCATGATTTGATTACTTTCAAGACTATTAAATGACATGTTTAATTGTCGCATGTCGCGAACGTTGTAAAATTTTATTTTACAACATTATTTTTATTAGTCTGAATTTGAGATTGGGCGTAAATTTGGTTAGGTTATGTTGAACCTAACAGGTGCATGATTTCATTTCTGCAATGTAGTTAATTAAACCTCGCATTACGAATAAAAGTTGCGAATGAAATAATTGTTTACACAAGGCACCTTCAAATTCAATCTACTTACCCTATGTTATGAGTAAAATGTTGATTATTTATTACTGCTGATTAGCTTTTAGACAGTTTGCAAATTGGTCACGTGCCTTTTTAATCTCGCTGAGCCCCGGTATTGATCAATAATACTTATAGTTGGTAACTGCCGCGACAATCAACCATCATCTCTAGTGCCCGATCAGCTGTTGTTCGCTCTCAGACGCAATCTAGTCCTACCATCATAGTATTTCATAAATCACATTTTATTTATTTTTACGATATACAAGTTTCCAAACAATAAATAATTGAAGTAATCAATATTTGTGGTGCTGATTGATTGAGGGGAGTTGGTGGGGCGTGGTACGGACTATGTCTCGTGATATTGCAGACCCAGGGGGCCAGGATCTAGGAGGGAGTGAGGGTGTTTATAAGGGAGGGTGTTTATAAGGGAGGGTGTTTATAAGGGAGGGTGTTTATAAGGGAGGGTGTTTATAAGGGAGGGTGTTTATAAGGGAGGGCTGGACTCCACCCGGTGGAATCCTGAGTGGGGAGCATTCTCTGAGTTGTTGTGAGCATTTTACTTTGATCTTTATAATCCTTTTTTTCACTGAAAGTAGAATAACAATAATTTTCTTTTCTGACTGTCTTATCAAAATCATGGGTTTCAAGATCCGAATTTTGGGACCTTGCCATCAAAAAGTTACATTGAAGTGCCGGTTTTACCTCAACACAGGTGATCCAATTTTATCTGTAACCAATTGATTTTACCTGACCTGCTCCCAATGGTACGATGCTGTGACTTTTTACTTAATAAAGTAGATTATCAACAGCTGTACCGTTACTTAATTACTCTAATCACCATTACTCAAGTGCCTTGTTCTACACTTAATTAGATTCGCAACAATTGGTTGCATTCTTGATTGATCGGACATTTAACGTTTGAAAACAGTTGCCCCGGACTCCCTCACGGACTAATTTATTCGTTGAATTATTTTGCACTTGAAGGTACTGCAGAATCTTTTCAACTGAGTACAACTATTCATAAATATTCAGATATTATCTGAATATATTATCTGCCACAAATCGTCAGCTTTTAGTGGACCAGACGTTTTGTCTTAACTCGTTACAATTCGTAACCTACATTAGATCCTGCTAGAATAATTGCACGCTATTGATATGGTAAGGTTTTGATGACGTAACGATTACAATGTTAGCCTCATCATAATACACTGATAGAGTGAGTCTCTTACTCAGCGTTTTCCTTGTTACAGGAACCCTGATATCAGTATCAGGTGAAATTTCCTCTTCCTCACAAATATGCAGCTTTTAGTTAAACTATCATTAACTAAGAGCTTTATTAAACACATTTGTTGCAATCTCCAGGTAGACAATCTCTTCCAATTATTGCAAGCTTGGTTCACATTCTTACCACATTTCCGTTACCCTGTGGTACTGTGCAAGTATTGTTCTACTGAACAGACTGCTTAGTCACCTTAAATCCTCGCTGCTGAGTGGACGCTTACGGTGGATTACTCTCTGTACTCCAACCTGATTGGCTCGTTGGGGGCCCTGCTAACAAGATAGTTGTCTCTGGTGGAGCATCACTTGATGCGGTCCAACTTTGACTACTTTATAGCCGGCCTATTGTTAACCAATCCACTTTGAATTCTATAAACTCCCCCTAACGGAATGTAGTTGAGTAAGATTAAATGTACAATAGAAACTACAAATTGTAATTACACTCTCATCTAAATGACGTTAACCCCGGAAAAGTTTTCAAGATTAAAGTAAAAACCTCAACCCCTAACAACCCCCTAACAAGCTCAATTAACAACACGACAAGCAGGGGCTGACAAGTATTCTTCTAACCACACTTCATTAAACTCCTGGACTAGTAGTAGATGAGGAGTCACGTGCTCTAAGGAGGGGGCTTTATTACCAAACTGTGGTGTGTTAAGGGTCAGTTAGCTTGCAGTACCCCGCATCAGATAGGGGTTTACAGCTCACTCTAAACAATACTGCTCGGTTAGACTTCTGACGCCCTATTTCTTTGTTTCTTACTCGGGAGACCTTCTCAGTGAGCGGATAAGTATGGTCGCGTGCCCTGAGTATTCTAGTTTGATTGGATGAGAGTTAGTCACGTGGTTTTTCTACTTTACAGCAAGAAAATAGTGCTGAATTTGTGCTTAGTTTTATTGTAATTTGTACGCAGTCTCCTTTCCGTTTTTGTGCCAATCTCAAGTCTTTTAACATTGCTTCGCACTCTCCAGCCTTCGTTCTATCCTCATTTTGCTACCTCTTGCTCAACCAAGATAACAACAACAACAACAACAAATGCTCTTCATTTCCCACTAGATTCCACCAAAAGTAAAATTTCTCATACATATTTTCATTGAAAGATGATGTACCAATATTGTTAAGGTGTAGAGGCTGTAATGGTTAAGACAACCAGATGTCACGTACCTAGCCACTCATTTGCTTTAGATCTGAGTAAAACAAACCCGCCGGCCGCGATAAATTAATTTGTGAAAAAAGTTACCATTCATTTATGAGGAATGCTGGATGAAGTGATTGTTTTTTTGGATGAGTCATTTTTAGGGAAGGTGCGCGTTATAGCTCGTGATAACGCTTCTTGAAAAATGTCGATTAGCATTTTTGAGTGACTATGCACGGGTAAGGAGCTGTTGTTTGTGTTCCAAATGAACATTTCTTATACTTGCTGCTTAACAACTCTTAATAGGGTGGAAATGTTTCCGCTAAGGCCCAAAGTTCCTGATATATTGGTCCACAATTGACGTATGGCAAATTTTCATTGACTTTCAGCCGCTCTTATCACATGGCACGGGTTGATTCTGGAAGATGCTATTTAATTACCTGGGAGGTAGGTAGTTACTTGGTACCCGTTAAGTCACATAAGTGTGGGACCGTTATTATTATAAAGGAGCAGCTTCCTTGGTGAATCTCCCCCTCAGAATTACAGTCCTAGTCCTCGACCTTCTTTTGTGATCACTGATCAGCGACTGGACCGCCACTATTTGAGGGCACTTCTAAATTAATACAGCTATTGTTGTAATAATGCGACCCCTAATTCTCCCCTTTATTAGTAATCTTATTAAATATAAAACCTGGGTGATGGAGTGACGTGTGACCAATAGGAAGTCTGAGTTTGGCTCACGTGACTTGGAATTACCCAATAAATTATACTGATTTAGATCTAACAATCGACTGTTTTATTGTTGCAGTAACGTTCGACCCCACTATTAGTGTAGACCCACTTACCAGTCACCATGACTACTCAAATCCTAGACAAAGCGGAGCCGAACAGCCGTCTGGTCACAATCACGTGACGTCACAAGTCACACGTGACGTCACGAAAACGAAAACACCGGCTTTAAACACAACCGATCAATGATTGATCCCCCTTTGTTCCGCAGACGTGAATCCAATCCAACGCTATTGTGTTATATTGAGTTTTTTGAAAGTTTTCATAAACTTTAAACTTTGAGGCACCGATTTAAGCCGCTGTTTGTGTCGAAATGCATGTCGTTTGAAAGCCGTCAATCTCGGTTTTATAATTACTGGTTTTAATCTCATTGTAGCTTCATTAAATAATAATCACTTTTAACGGTATTTTTGGTATCTTTGTCGGCATGAGCCATGAAGTGTACCTGATTTGTTCTATAAATTTGTTCTTCATTTTTTCATCGTAAGCCACTCGAATTCCAAACAAAAAACCATTTATTTGATTAACTGACTTTTCCGCTCAATTAATTGGAACAAAGTCGTAAGTAGTGCACCCAAATTTACTTAGCAGTGCAATTGAGTTTCTTTAGCGCTACAACAACTGTTAGTTGATTAGTTCAGAGGTGCTCAAACAGTTGGACATTAGTCACACAGTCGAGACATTCTGTCTTTCCTCCCAATCCGATACGTTTTGAAATTTCCATCTCATATACTTGCAAATCAATCGATTTGAATCTGATTAGTTTTCCTTACCGCTAGCCAGGGCCCAGGATGGATATACAATCTAATTTAGGGCACAGCCACCTTTACGTACGCTTCCTTAAATTCAATTAAATTTTATTTAAACACTTTCTATAATACGAGAATTTGATTTTATGTGTTTTATGGTAGGTATGATGTTGGAAAACGAAGTGAAGAATAAAGTGTTTGTCTACAAACTGATGATAAGGTAAGAATTTTGTTAATGTTTGTTATTTTTCCAAAAACTCATTCAGATTTCCAGCAGATTTATCAAATATCCAAAAATTACGGCACATATGGTTCAATTGAACATCCGAGAAAATTTTCGACACACTTTCTCATGATCAATCCGATTTAAACTCAATCTTCGATTCACAACTTTATTGGTTGATATTTTAAGTTAAATCCCTCCCTCTCTCTTAATATTTTAAGTTAAATCCCTCCCTCTCTCTCTTAATATTTTAAGTTAAATCCCTCCCTCTCTCGTAATATTTTAAGTTAAGCTATCTCTCTAAGTCTCTATCTGTCGTATTGCGCGGCCACTAATGAAACTTACACGAGCTAGCACTCAGCTTTTTAACACTTTGCCTGTTTCAGAAGCGCTCGTTTTAAATTTAGACGATTTATTAAATCATACTTACCAATATTCTCTACTTTTTGAATGAGCCGTTCAGTTGAAGTACCGTAGTTGAAAGTAGATTTGATTTTCTGTTTGTAGCTGAGTGTTATTTTACTGAAGTAAAGGTAGGGACGGGAACATTTTGAGGGAAGGGAAGAATTGTTTTCTTATCGGGATAGAATTTTGTGCAGCGTCTTTTTCTTATTCTCGTGACCTGGTGTAAATTGTGAATCGCATCTGTTCAATTTTGAACGGTTGAAATTTGTAACTCTCGGCATTAATCATCCCTGGAATACAGTATCTACCATCTTACTGTCTTTCATTTACTCGACTTAAACGTACTGATCCAGGTTTAATATAAGACCAATGACCGTTCCGACAAATGCTCTGACTGAAACATCCATTGAAGCACCGGGACCCTAACAATACCCCCGACCACATCCACCAGCCTCGCACTTAAAACCTAAACCAGGTGCCACACAGACCACTTCTTCTTCCTGACTCACTATCCACTACTGTTACTTGAACTATACACGTTAAATGATAACGTCCCCGTCCGTATTGTTTCCCCCTAACCGAACATAGTAGGACGCCTAATTTAATCACTGATTGTGGGGTGCCTTTGTGGCGACTAACGCCCTCACTGGCCCTCAACCTGCAATACTGTACCAATCCGTATTGTAGTACTGCTAAATTGAGTGCACTTAACTCGATAGACAAATGTTAGGCTACTACGTGTGTTCGGCTGCCGATTTGAGGGTAGAGTGAGAGAGAGAGAGAGAGTGAGAGAGAGAGAGAGAGAGAGAGAGAGAGAGAGAGAGAGAGAGAGAGAGAGAGAGAGAGAGAGAGAGAGAGAGAGAGAGAGAGAGAGAGAGAGAGAGAGAGAGAGAGAGAGAGAGAGAGAGAGAGAGAGAGAGAGAGAGAGAGAGAGAGAGAGAGAGAGAGAGAGAGAGAGAGAGAGAGAGAGAGAGAGAGAGAGAGAGAGAGAGAGAGAGAGAGAGAGAGAGAGAGAGAGAGAGAGAGAGAGAGAGAGAGAGAGGGGAGTGATACATATAGATTACAGGACTTAATCGTAATTAAATGTACCGCTCACCCTCACAGTCCCTCGTCATCGTTCTTCTCCCCGACAATGTGATCTTATTGATTTTAGAACCCGTGTTTTTATCACGTCTCTAATAGATATGAAATGCGGTGTATTTTTTAGCGTTACAACGTGCTGGCGGAGAAAGTGAACAGATGGTTTGAATTTTACTTTTTTGACCTGTCCTTTTGTCCTGCTAGCATTCTCTCCACTATTTTTTCGACAAATTTAATTTACTTACAACAATGAAATTTTTAAACTTTAAAAACGGTTTTACACGGAAGGTGCGATACACGGTCACACGTGCCGGGGCCGCTTCACAGATGCAAATAGAGGTAGCAAAATACCTGCTAATAGGATTAAAGCGAACGAGGCAATCCAATTTTCATAAAATTACAAAATTTAAAAGAAGTGAAGATGGGTGTTGGAAGGCTCTGCTAATGCTCAGTAACGTACAAGTACTACCAGTCCCTCGTTACCATGGACACAAAGCCTGTTAATTTAATGATTTATTTTAAATGCACATATTGTGAAGGGGTTTATTTTCAAAATATGCACTACTTTATCTAATTTACTTTACTCGGAGGATCTGATTGAAAACATTAATTATTTTATTACATTTAACAGAAAACTACCCAAATCTTGAACAGGTAGCTTTTCCCCGAGCTCATTAGGCGGATTTTTCAAGTGACTGTAATCCACGCCCACAATTAGATCATAGTTTAAATCAAGCACCGTTTTGATAATTAGACTACGTTTAATGCAGATAAATTCCCGTGTCCTGTATTTCAGCAACAGTTGAAGGCTATCCTATTCAGAAATCCGGCAACCAGAATTTAGTCACCTGGACGAAAACTGCCAGAAAATTCCTAACCTCCCCGAGTTACAAATGGGGTTACTGCGCATGCGGCTGGATAATGAATTGTCACGAATTGTATAAGTTATTATTAACCATAAACTTGTTAACTAATAGATAGTTGAGTTCAGTTAATGAAATATGCAAATAGTAAACTTATAAACTCCTACAATTTAAATCAATAATCATATTCCTTTGGCGGCGGGACGCTCACTTCCGGATTAAATCGTATTGAATTTCGATTGTTCAAAAATCAGGCACTTCGTCCAAGCACGCCCAAGTTACTAGACTTCCAAACACTTGAGGACTTTGAAGTTCATTGATCGTGTTGGACATTATTTGTGCATTATAAAAAATAGATCTGTAACAACTGAGCTTGTGTAAGTTGTAACTTGCAGAATGCAGGTCTCCTACTTAGCCACCAGGTAACCTGTATTATTTCCGAGTAAGAATAATCAGAATCATTGAGGTCTAATGAAAAACGTAACTTTTTCTCCTGAATAACGTGCAATACTGGGCTGGTGTAACGAACAGGCCTCTTCTTCAGTAAGCAGGCAATGTGTAATATTTCCTGGTAATCGTGGTCAGTACCCGGCATGTGTTATTGATTGTGTTGTCGATTGTCAGTGTGTCCATTCAGAGAGGAGAGAATAACGTTCCACATGGCTAGTTAACGGCCTTTAGCTCCCCTCTTATCGGGCAAATAATTGCCATTCACCTGACGGCCCTTTGAACGGTTACATTAGTAAACCACTTTGTTAACTGAGCGATGTAGTCGGCGAGGGTAAGGTACATTTGGCGACACGTAGCGTCACGCTTTCTCTTGAACATCAACTCTACTAATTCTACTATTCTATCACTTAAAAGGGAGGTTTTACAAATGCAAAGTAACAATTTCAACAGGGCGATTAATGGTAAGCAATTTGCGAGCAATTACTATTGTCGCGGATACAAAGCCGTCGGTTTCGGCCCGGCTTTTCTTCAAAGAGTCGAAGTAAAACTGTTATAGCTGCAGTACAGGCAGGGCAATCTTGACAAATGTCTTGCCAAACGTATCTAATGACCTGTCAATTGGGTGAACTAATAGAACATTTAGAAGTCGCTTGTTACTTACAATTAAATAGCATATCGAGGGGGTATGGAGCGTTAAGTTCACCTACCCTCCCGACTCTCACCCCTATTTAGAGGTGGATTGTGCGTCATGTGTGACAGCTAGCGGTTGATTGGGTTAAATGGTTTCCCTTTGAGTACTCTGGATATGGAAAAATTTGTCTGACAAATATTGTGGAGGGAAATTTTGGGGTTACGATAGAATTACTGTGCTGGGCAGATATTCTTCAAATAGCTTCTTGGGAACAGGGAAAACATTCTTGGGCTGGATACTTTGAAGATTCGGTTGTTCCGATATTTACACTTCGTTTCAGTCGGATTATTATAGAATCGTTTCAGTCAGTTACATCACGATGGTTACAACGCACTAGCCCTGTTGATGGAACAAATGCTTCTAGCTTCTAAAAAGGTTCGTTTTTTGCCCTTCAAGGGCTTTGGAAAAGAAGATTTAACGAGTGAATTGTAGGTATAAGGCTTTGATACTTAAGGAAATTCAATGACTTCTATCGACTCCTATTGTTGGCTATTGAAGGAGTTTCAGTTCATTACGTGTTCATAGTTTGAACCCAATTAGGGCTCATTCGGCTGGCTATTGGTTTTGCAGACAGATAAGTCACACTTGAAAGCAACGTGTCTATTAAACCGAACTACTTAAAGTCTAGTTGCTACTTCTCGCTATACTCTTTTGTCCCAGGTTCAGCCTAGCGATTGTCTAACCCAACTCTTGAACGTGTGTAAAGCAGTCAGTTTCGCAGACAAGGAGCTCATCCTTGAAGGTTTGTTTTGGTTTTTTCATCGTCTTTGATTTTATTTATGTACTTAACGTTGCAGCCTTTTTTGTAAGGACGTGAGAAATAGGTGATAAGTAAGACCAAAACTAATGGGAGGGTTAAACTTTCAAGACTTCGGACGCCGTTTAACATTTTTCTTTAATTTGAGTTTATGTTAATAAGAATGAATAAATAATTGGAACTTTTTCTTGCATAGCTCTCATATATAGACCGCTAGAATCGAATTTGAGAGCATTTTGAGAGCATTGCTGCACTTTTAGCTTATAACTTGTAAAATGGTATTGTACAAATATGCGTTTCAGCGCTCAGCTTGCCAGATTGAAGCGCGCGCGCAGCATAAAAATGCGCGCGCAGCTCAAGTTTTCTGATCTTGATCGAAGAAAAAAAGCTTTTATCAGTACTTTAAGGGCTAAGACTTAAGAGCTTAAGAGCTTAAGAGCTTACATATCTGAAATGAATTAAATGTCCGGAATTTAGCGACAACTGATGAGTGGTTAAATTTGAGTTCTAATGATTTTTAACTCCGTCGTTATGTGATAGTTATTGATTGATGTCAAATTATAAATTCAAGTTGTATTGCGGAAAATGGTTAAATTCAGTGACAAGTGAGAATTTCTGCGACATTTCACGAGAACTCGGTAGCACTATAAAACAATGATTTAATACAATTAAACCAGTTTAAGTTTCACCATGCCGAATTTGTTTTAAATTCACCAACTTTTGACAATTATTACGAATAATATACAGAATGAAGTCGATCGGCTGACATTGCCCGACCCATAATTATCTGATCAATTAGCCATTGAGCCTAGCCGGAGTAAATTCTCCATTTGAGACCTTTCAAGAGAAATATTTCGGAGTATCTCAGGTCCCCTTTGAATGAAGATTACCCTCGGAAATGCCACCCCCGCCTTATATCAAGCACGTGTCCAATCTTCATATGTTAAGAATGATTGATAACTCGAATGGAACAAATTTAGCTATCAGAAGCATATCGATCTCGATTTAAACGAATCATTTGAATATTTCATTGATCTCTCAAAAAAGTTTAAATGCTCGCAGATTTACCGATCAAATACGTTAAGTATCTAGCAAGTAAGATGACAAAGGCTGTGCTTTAAATCGTGCAGCCGAACTTTGTTTAATAATAAACTTACAAAATGCCACAATGTTCACTTGTGGTGTTTTAAATCGCTGACATAACTAGCCAGTGGTAAGCTATTCAGAGTGGTCACCCATAATTCATCACGATCTCCTGCAAAATGATGTGCATTTGAACGCTGTCAAAGAGCGGTGAGATGTGGGCCGTGTTAAAACGTGTGTCGATTGTCTTGCTTACCAGATGAAGTGATCATGCTCGAGGCTTACTCAAATCTTCATCTCTTAGTACTGATTTAAATCGAGCTGCATGATCGCTGGTTCACGTGGTAGCAGTATCGATCTTTTTGAAAATGATTTCACACAAAAGAGTCACTTCCCTGCTTCATTCATTCAATTTTACTACCTGCAATTTAAATTAGACCGTATTCTTAAGCTATAGTTTCGAATCAATCTTCATTGTTGAAAGACGCCGTGACTGATTTTTAATAAAGTTAGCCAGTCAACAATATTATATTTTAGACGGTGTAATTCGTCAAGTCTATTTAGGACAATACGTAACAGTAAATTCCACCCAGAAGAGACCGTTGCAATGTCAGAGGAAGGGCAAACCCAAGATTCTCCAAAGAAGTCTCCTGAGAAGGAATCCTCAGAGCCTGGTACCCAAAATAATAGTCCAACCAAATCTGAGGTTAGTTGCTTATTTATCTTTTTGCTTTTTTTTTGCTGTTTTTGTTTTGAGCTGTTTTTCCATTTCTTTTGTTTGAGATTTCCTTAAAAAATTGCATTCTCCGTCAATTATCTATTGCAATTCATTGTGGTTCTACGGAATTCACTTGTGCACGCTCACGATTTTTACGATAAATTAACCATGACCGATAACTCCTCAGACGATGAACGGAACTAAGAACGAATCTCAATCACCAACGTCCACCACAAACTTTTTCTCAGCCTCTTCCCTGTTGGAGTCCTCTCAAACATCTCCTCCTACCTCCGTAACCAGCCCACCCTCCACCACTAAGGATCCTCTCGCTGACACTTTTGCCAGCCACCCTCTTTCTCACATATTCCCTAATAGAGACGTGTTGTCCCAGCTTTTGCCAAACAGTGAAGCTCTATTTGCTGCAGCTACAAGTAAACCAAGCACACTGATAGTGCCCACCCCGAATCTCCTCCTGCCGAATTCAAGTCCGCTGCAGATGCCTACCTCCACACCAATACTACCTACTCCCACACCTCTGCTCCCAACCTCAACTCCTTTGAGATCACTTTCTACCCCCATTCTACCTACCAGCAACCGTTTTAATCCCACCATTCTAACCCACCCGTACAGCGTGAGTGTTTCGTTCCACGATTGTTAAAAGTTGAACTTGAAATCAGTTTTGAAATCTTTTTATTTATATTTTATGTCTAAGTTCTCTACCTTTCTATGTCACTGTACTAACCTTTATTTTACCTACATGTATTGTATGGTCTCTGATTCTTTTTGATTTAGTGTGGTTTAAAATAAAAGATGTTTAATTTTGTCTTGGTCTTATATTAATATTACGTTATAATCTTGTTCATTTTTACACATTTGCTCACATCACTCACAGTCAGCCGCTCTGACATGGTTAACCACCTTCCTTGTGTTGTTGGTTAATCATATGAGCGGGATATAAATACCTCATTTCATTTCATTTCATTTCATTTCATATGCACACAATTTCTTGAGTACTACTCAACTGATCCCCACCTTCTTCAGTTCCCGCTGGGTCGCTCAGGATCTCTACCCTTCTTCCCTAACCTGCAATTCAAATCTCCGGATCGTGGCCAAAAAGAAGACAAGGATTCCGGACTTTTTGATCCTCAACTGCTGGGTGGTAGACTCCAAGACGTCGTCAACGCTTTTACGGCTAACAACGCGACATTTCCCCTACCCAGCAGTATCTGCAACAACTGGCCGAGTAAGTCAGACTCATCACTCAATCCGTCTCAAATCCCTGGATAGCTAGATAGTTTTAATTGCTGCAATTCGATCATGGTCCATTTTAACGGAATACACTTCTTGTCATTTGCCAGACGTAGTCGGCCGTGAGCTGGCTTTGGAATTAAAAAATCGATTTCTTTGATAACGAAATTTGATTAAGCAATTCTGAAATTCACCTTCGGATTAGACACCAGATAAGCTGCAAATAGCTTTAGAAAATACAAAACTGATTAAGTTATTACTAGGTAAAGCGCAGACTGAATCCAGCCTTCGATACAAGTTAATCAATTGATTAACTTAAATTCAATCATCTAATTGAACCAATAAGTGATCCTATTGATTTGTATTTAAAGCTGGATATTCCCAGATAACCTGCTGAGTCAAGTACAAACCGGATCGGGACGACAACACAAGATGAAACATTGTCCAGTTTGTAACAAAGTTCTGGTGGCATCTTCTCTTTACCTCCATATGAAGGTACGTGTTTACTAAAATAACTTTCTGAATACTAATATAGTACTGCCGCGAAAAGCTGGCCTCGATTTCGAGGCTTTTTTTGTTTTTAGAGGCTTCGAATCTTTTGTGTCTAAACACGCTAGATAGTGCTAAATAGTTATCGCGTTTAGACTACCGCAAAAGAACCGAGGCTTCTATTGCAATTTTCAGCTGTTAGCGGCTAGCTTTTCACGGCCGTACCAAAGATATCCTGCAATGTTAATCTGAAGCAAATTGAAACAGGCTAACGATTGACTTATATGAATTTGGAATGAAGCATTACACGAGTTATGATTGAGTGAGTCTGACATCAACCCTCTGCGAAATCCGTGATGAAAATGTTTTTATTTGACCAATGTAATTCTTTGATGAATGGAATAGCAAATATTTAAACAAATTTTACGTTCTGTATCGCAGTAAAGTTTTAAAATTCGACCGGAAAATCATTTTATATTCAATTGAAAGAACCACATCGACTATAAAAAGAAGAATTGTCGAATTATCATATATGAATTTAGAAAGCATGAAAACACAAGTGTGGTTAACAATTTAACTGAAAGATGATATCAGGCAGATCTGTTTTTCAAATTTTTTCAGTTCGGTCAAATGTTTCCAACTTCGTTAAAAACAAATGATATTGAAATATTTCCAAAATTACTTACTCATACCTCTTAACCACAATCTTCATTAAAACTTTCCGCCAGATACATACGGGCGAGAAGAACTATATCTGTGAATTTTGCTGCAAAAGATTCCTGTTGAAACACCACCTGCATTCCCATCTAAAGATTTGTCAGAGTCGGACCTTAGTGCTTACTAAGACGGAGACTTCACAAGCCTGAGGAGGAGGTAATACTCAACAGACTGCTAAACAGCCTCACCATTCATCCAATGCAATTCAGACTTCGGTGATATAACTATAAGAAGATCTCGGACCAAAGATTAAAGAAAGGAACTATTAGATCTTAAAGGACCCAGTAGGTAAAGAGGAAATATGACAATTACAAGACTCCTTACCTTGTTAATAAGCGCTGTGATGCGAATCAAAGGTCGATTGATAAATTATTGGATCATCTCATTAGAATATTTGGATTGAGTTTAAGAAGAAAGTATAACCTTTTAAAATGTCTACAAGTGTTTGTGGATTACCTCAATACAATGACGTTAACTGTAAATAAGTAGAGTGTACGTGTATCAACAAATATTGACTATCGATACTGCTAGTAACTACTTTAGATATATTGAAAGATGGATCTGCTTTCAAATGATTTTTTTTAGCGGTAGCTCGAGAGACGGCCTTTTTTATCGAGTTATTACATTTTGGAATGTTCCTTTCCAGTTAAAGTTTATTGCGAATAAAATTATTAGAATTAAGAGCATTTATCTGCATTTCCATTTTTATGGAGCGAATCCTGACGTTCGCTGTGGACATTTCTATTAAATATTGGCTAATTAAAATTAATTTATAGATATTAAATATTTGAGGAATAATTGAGGATAACGTCACGTTGGTTGATAATGCAAATCGCTAGTGCGCACTGCCGCACTACTGCTACAGTCGACATCACGAACAATTAATTTCAGTATAATTTTTAAGTTTATATCATTATACACTTCCCCACAAGTTTTCAACTTCATACACTAGAGAGCTAGAGGATTTAACCTTGACGAATTTATATAGTTGATAAAAAATAAGTAATACTTACTAATCAACTGAGCCAGTCTGGCGAAACTGTGAGTTGAGAACAATACTTATTACGATACAATGCTTTTACAATACTAATTACGTTACAGTATAGAAAACCTTATGGACTTCAAGTTTATGATTTAAAATTTCGAATAAATAAGTAATATGTTATGCAGTTCAATTTGAATGTATTCATGTTCCGATTAATCAAATAAATTATAATAATATAATTAATTATGAACTAAGATCAAAATGTTGTTGAATTGATGCTATGTGATTATGAATATTATCACAATTGGTTCACTGTTTATGTGTTTTTTTCATTTGAAGTTTAAATTCAAAATTTCCTACTCCTCCTAAAATAGAATCCTGATCAGCATCGAATTTTTAGAATTGAGAAATAAAAAATAAAAACAACCTTTGAGATTAAAAAGTTTAAGAATTATTCACGTAAATCTACATTCTACGACGAAACGTTTATTATGTCAATCAAGTATAATTACAACAATCATTTATAAGGTAATCACACTATATAGTGACAACACTATATAGTGACAAGCACTTTCTAATGACAGCTGATCTTTGTCATTATATAGTGTGCAAAACGCACTATATAGTGACAAAACTATATAGTGACAAATCTATATAGTGACAAATCTATATAGTGACAAATCTTATATCGACTTTTCCTTACTTTTCTTAATTCTACTTTTAGAATACTACTAAAGCAAATAATTTTATTTAAGTAAAATGTATAACTGTCATAGAAATATAGTACAATCGAAAATACAAATCTTATATCGACTTTTCCTTACTTTTCTTAATTCTACTTTTAGAATACTACTAAAGCAAATAATTTTATTTAAGTAAAATGTATAACTGTCATAGAAATATAGTACAATCGAAAATATAACTAAATACCAATATCGTAAAACTGATAATATCAATAATCAAATGTCGAATTCAGAAGGGAGTCGTACCTTATCAACTTGGCAGCTCTCTGGGGTGGAGGTCTTCTCATCAGTCCGTGATCTTCTGGTCTGTTAGTCCTTGCTCTAGTTTGAGGGCTTCAAGAATTTCCAGATGGTAGGATTTGAACACTGGACGAGGCTGCGGAAACCATTATGCCATCCTTCTGCAAGGTTCGAAGAGCGTGGGAGACCAGCTAGACAGCAATCGTACTGGTTCCAGGACAGGTGACTATCTATAGTCGACTGACTAATTGGTTGCGGGTCCGAAATTCGGTCAAAACTTTAAAATTTCGGCCCTGGAAATTTCAGCTTCAAAAACCGAAAATGGGACAGAGTATGGGACAGTATGATTTTTCAATTCTTTTCGAAATTATGACTACCAGTACCTCAATTTGGTTTCATATCATCATTAATTAACTGACTTGTTGGTTTGTGGGCAAAAATTTCATCCAATCTGTCAATTGTGGGTTCACAAATTTTCAAATCTGAAAATGGGACAGAGTTTTGAAAATACAACTTTTCGTTTTGTTAAGATTTCTGCTGTGAGCTTCCTCCGACCCAAATCAAAATTCCAGCACCCCAATCGTGTCATTTGCTATCTATAGTCGACTGACTAATTGGTTGCGGGTCCGAAATTCGGTCAAAACTTTAAAATTTCGGCCCTGGAAATTTCAGCTTCAAAAACCGAAAATGGGACAGAGTATGGGACAGTATGATTTTTCAATTCTTTTCGAAATTATGACTACCAGTACCTCAATTTGGTTTCATATCATCATTAATTAACTGACTTGTTGGTTTGTGGGCAAAATATTCATCCAATCTGTCAATTGTGGGTTCACAAATTTTCAAATCTGAAAATGGGACAGAGTTTTGAAAATACAACTTTTCGTTTTGTTAAGATTTCTGCTGTGAGCTTCCTCCGACCCAAATCAAAATTTCAGCACACCAATCGTGTCATTTGCTATCTATAGTTGACTGACTAATTGGTTGCAGGTCAGAAATTCGGTCAAAACTGTAAAATTTCGGCCCTGGAAATTTCAGCTTCAAAAACCGAAAATGGGACAGAGTATGGGACAGTATGATTTTTCAATTCTTTTCGAAATTGGTAATCTTGTTTTGCTCTTATGAGTGGGTCAATCATTTATTTTTAATTGTAGTTGACGAAATGAGAGTCTCCACTCAGTGTGTTAAAACATAATTCTTTGTCGACGTTTCGGCTACATGCCTTTGTCATAAACAGGACGTACTGAAAACTTACATAGCTGCAAAGATACAATGTTAAAATAATCTATTAATACTACGAAATATAACAACAACAAATAACATCTTGAAACACAACAACAATCACAAATTTTTCCAAAAGAAACATAAAATATAACGGCTAAAAGAATCCAAACCGCAACAAGTCGTGAACAATTCTTCATAATACTACAAACATTTTACCAAGATAGCTCCTTCATAAAACTGATTAATCAAAAATTATCTATGTTTATAAGTTCAATATTACATTAACTTCCAAGTATATTTTATCCAATCACCTTCATTTACGGACTCAGACAATTGAGTATTTATTTCTGGGTTTTCACGTTTTATTAGAACCGACTGCCACAATTGACGGTCCACATAGTCTTTACATCTTTTTCGAACTATAAACCGAAACGGTATGTTTGGCATTGAAATGTCTGCATGCTCCTCTAGGTAGTGCTTCCCCATGGCCGTAGATTTGTTGCCATCCCTTACTGATTTGTAGTGTTCCCAGGCTCTACTTCTTTTAAACCTACCAGTTTCCCCAATGTAGGACTTATTACATATTTGGCATATTAATTGGTAGCAAATGTTTTTGATCATGCAGGATTTATCGCACTGGTAGCATTTGCTGTCACTTTGTTTATTGCATTTTGTTTGCTGTAGGCTAGATCTTGTTAAAGCTTCCAATGAGAAGCTTTAACAAGATCTAGCCTACAGCAAACAAAATGCAATAAACAAAGTGACAGCAAATGCTACCAGTGCGATAAATCCTGCATGATCAAAAACATTTGCTACCAATTAATATGCCAAATATGTAATAAGTCCTACATTGGGGAAACTGGTAGGTTTAAAAGAAGTAGAGCCTGGGAACACTACAAATCAGTAAGGGATGGCAACAAATCTACGGCCATGGGGAAGCACTACCTAGAGGAGCATGCAGACATTTCAATGCCAAACATACCGTTTCGGTTTATAGTTCGAAAAAGATGTAAAGACTATGTGGACCGTCAATTGTGGCAGTCGGTTCTAATAAAACGTGAAAACCCAGAAATAAATACTCAATTGTCTGAGTCCGTAAATGAAGGTGATTGGATAAAATATACTTGGAAGTTAATGTAATATTGAACTTATAAACATAGATAATTTTTGATTAATCAGTTTTATGAAGGAGCTATCTTGGTAAAATGTTTGTAGTATTATGAAGAATTGTTCACGACTTGTTGCGGTTTGGATTCTTTTAGCCGTTATATTTTATGTTTCTTTTGGAAAAATTTGTGATTGTTGTTGTGTTTCAAGATGTTATTTGTTGTTGTTATATTTCGTAGTATTAATAGATTATTTTAACATTGTATCTTTGCAGCTATGTAAGTTTTCAGTACGTCCTGTTTATGACAAAGGCATGTAGCCGAAACGTCGACAAAGAATTATGTTTTAACACACTGAGTGGAGACTCTCATTTCGTCAACTACAATTAAAAATAAAATCTTTTCGAAATTATGACTACCAGTACCTCAATTTGGTTTCATATCATCATTAATTAACTGACTTATTGGTTTGTGGGCAAAATATTCATCCAATCTGTCAATTGTGGGTCCACAAATTTTCAAATCTGAAAATGGGACAGAGTTTTGAAAATACAACTTTTCGTTTTGTTAAGATTTCTGCTGTGAGCTTCCTCCGACCCAAATCAAAATTCCAGCACCCCTATCGTGTCATTTGCTATCTACAGTCGACTGACTAATTGGTTGCGGGTCCGAAATTCGGCCAAAACTGTAAAATTTCGGCCCTGGAAATTTCAGCTTCAAAAACTGAAAATGGGACAGAGTATGGGACAGTATGATATTTCAATTCTTTTCGAAATTATGACTACCAGTACCTCAATTTGGTTTCATATCATCATTAATTAACTGACTAATTGGTTTGTGGGCAAAAATTTCATCCAATCTGTCAATTGTGGGTTGACAAATTTTCAAATCTGAAAATGGGACAGAGTTTTGAAAATACAACTTTTCGTTTTGTTAAG